CCCCCTCACACACACACACACACACACACACACACACACACACACACACACACACACACACACACACACACACAGCTGTGGCTGCTAACTACCTCAGGGACCTGCTGCCGACTACACATACCCACACAAATACATGTGCACATCGATGACTGGATAGTCAAAATGAATAATATAAGCCAACATCTCCATGACTTCCAAAAAATTTTTAAGGAACCTGCAAACAAACGTTGCAAACTAAACATTAGTGGTACTAATGCATTTGAGGTTTTTGGAGTTTATTCTTTAATTAATTATTGTTTAACTCATTTAGTCTCTCCTGTCTTTCCTTACATTTACATGTACATAGACATATCTCTTAGAAAAAAGATACAAAATTTTCACTGTGGCGGTACCCTTTCAAAAGGTACTAATATGTAGACTTTAGGCACTAATGTACTTTTAAAATACTAATGTATTTTAAGGCACTGTTATGTACCATTTAGGGGTAAGTAAGGTATTAAGATGTACCTTTTAGACTTTGTACCTTAGGGTACCGACACAGTGACAGTTTTCTTTTCTGAAAGTGTACTAAACTAATGAATAGTAGTTGAACATCTCACTGGTATCCAAATGCCAAATTCATAATTAGTCAAAAACAGTATCTTGTAAAACAGTAATTTCTTTTCTGTTTTCAAATTTGTACAGTAATATCAGTTAAAACAAGAAAATTTTCTGTACTATACTATAGTATTTCTTGTACTATAAATGTAATCATAAATTGTAACCTACATTATATATGGCAATATTGTGCATTACTGTAATGAAATTATAACTAAACAAGTTTTGTAAGTGATCAAAGGGACGTGGTCCGTGCTGTGTGGTGAAGTTTAGTATGAGTTGCTATAATTGTACATAAAAAGAAACACTTTAAGCACTACAAAACAAGTAACTAAAATGCTAACAAAAACAACAACAGAAACAGCTAAATAAAACAAAAAACAGCAAATTTACTCATGACGCAGTGCATTCTGGGAATGCAGGCGTCGTCACATTATTGCTAAAATTAGTAGAATGAAAGACTTTGATATTCTTGTGAATATGTTTATGCAACTGGCCCCAGATCGGACTGCGATTGGCTTTAATGTTTTGCACATGCTCCGAAATACACAGGTTCCTATTTTGTATTATATTTTAAGTCACAATCGATTTTTCAAAAACAAAACAATGTAATTAAACCTAACTGTCAGTGGGGTGTAAGCAGATTGTACGAAAATGTACAAATGAGATCGTAAAAAATGCCACTAATTTGCCAAAGCATAAAATAGTTACAAATTGACATAAGAGTGTTGCATATTCTTTGAAAGACTGCCAAAGACTGTTGCTCAAATATGCAAAACTCTCTGAATCTCGCAATCTCTCGTGCATATTATAACTGCATATGCACACATTCGCTATTCAGTGTGGAGAGACAGTATGCAGATTGGTAACTAGTCACTGTAATTTTGCACAACATTTAACAAGCAGATGCTGAAACTTTGGGTTTATAATGGCCGAGCTACAAACTAGAATCTTTGTATAGATTCCAGTATGGATAGTTTTCTGCATGAATTCAGAGTCTCTCCTCCTTTCTCACTTCCCCCTGCTGTCCTCTCATTTATTGTGTCCGTCCTGAAGTAGCCCAGGCATTGTTTAATCCAGATGGCCTAATCACAACCTTTTTGCTGTGTCTTCCTCTTCCTATTCATACAGCCTCCTATTAATATCCTGATCCCTCACTATCCTGTCAGCAAGTAAGACTTGAACAAACACTGGGACAAAAAAGTAGAGGGGGAGAAGGAGGGAAGAAAAAGGAAAAAAGCAGGGGATCCCCAACATGAAGAACAACAGGATGGAGGAGAGCATGTCATATGGTCAATTACGGGCAGGAGGATCTCTGCGTCCAGAGAGAGGAGAGGGTTGAGTTCCGGACTGAGGAAAAGCAAGTCCACCGTCAACCACTTTCACAGACGCCATATTTACTGCCGTGGAAGAGCAGCTTTACGGCTCTGTGATTCAGCCATTTGTGACTGCAAATGGGACTCAAAGGAAAACAAAAACTTCAAAAGAGCAAGACAAAGTGAGTGAGAGAGAAACAGGAGAAGATAGCTCCCCTTACGAAAAAGAAGTAAAACTAAAACTAAAAATTTTTGTTTTAAACTAAAAATAGGAAAGTATACTTTTAGTCTACTTTTTATGTACTTCTCAGAAATGGGCTTTATGTACTTCTCAGAAATATACTTAAAATGACATTTAAGTATACTTGACTTATACTTAGAAAAAGTCTAAATATATTTGAGCTATACTTGTGTTCCTAGAATCCGTGTTTTCATTGTTATACTGTTATACTATATACTAGAAAGTGGGCCAATTTAGTCCCAAGGAGTATTGAAATAGTACACTTACAAGTATACTACTAGTACACTGATATTTGTATACTACATAAAGTATACTTAAAAATATACTTGAACTTTACTTAAGTATACTTACTAAAATAAGCTTGAAGTATACTACTTTTTGGTAAGGGTCTGAAACCTTTTTTGAAATATTTGTAAGTTCCACAACAGGAGCAGGTAGCTCCTTCATGTCTGTCTTTATGAGCAAAAATGTACTTACATTGCGAATGGGTTTAAATAATACTTTCAAAAGACCACAAATAACATTTGTTCAAGATAATGATGACTGTAACGTTCTGTTGTGATAAACCACAAGCGCAGACTCTGTAAAACAGTACACCAATGACTGACGCAAATTAGAGTCGCTTTTTCCAGTCACCTATTAAACTGTGAAAATATTACCTCTGAAAAACACTCATTTTTTCCACTTTGCTCTTTTGCGTGCAGCAGTTTCTAATCTGTCAGTTTTTCCTTTATATCACATTATATTTAACAGAAATTAGACTTGTCAAACATGCCAGATCTGCCTATATTACGTGAGCAATAGTGCGAACATATTTATGAATCTCAAGGATACTGTTTCCCTGCATTTAATAGTCTTTTTAAATTTTCTGCCAATTGTAAACAAGAACTTTCAATGGCTGACAGTGGTGTTAAATGTTAAAAGGCTGTGCATGGGTCCAAAACATTAGGAGAGAGAAGGTATAATGTGTTTCTATACATCTTTAATAAGAGTAAATAAAAGTGTTTTAGTATAGAAAATTAAGCATTATGAACATAACCGAAAGATACAGTTTTATGTGAAGTCAAATCAAAATGAAATGGAATATGTGAAGTGAATCAACGAGAGAGATTCGGCTTTAATTTGAGATATTAAAAATATCTATGCGTATGCATATTTATGTGTGTGTAGATATTTATGTTCTTGTCTTTATTTGTGTATGTTTTATCATTTAATATTGTTAGAAATAGTGTTGTAATTCAGATAACATTCTCTGAAAGTGCATTATTTTAATAAGGATAATTAGAATGCTGTTGCAATTAACAAATGAATAATTAACCACAACTTGTTTTTAATCTGTATTATTTATTGGACTATTAAGTTATTATTTTTGTAATAATAATATCATTAATCACATAAAAATGTTGCTCTGAAACTCTAGACCATTAACAAAATTATCTTACATAGGCAAATTCGATCTTTTCTTTTCTCTTGATATACCAGTACTGTTTTGATTCTGCCGCATATTTAAAATATCCATCCTATTTTGCTCCAGTGAAGAGTCAAATCTGCATAGCATGAAAGTCAATGTTTGACTTTAAAACGGATTTAAAAATGATTGATTGAAGTAATTTCTCATTTTCTTTTATATTGCTTTAGGAGCTTCTGTTTATCATCATGCCACTCACACCAGAGGGCAGACTTGAGACATGCATGAGACCGAGAAACAGTTGAATCTTTACACCTCACAGTCGTTTTAGACTGATGATGCTTAATTTCCACTGTAGCTTAATAGCGATAATAAACAACTGTTACCCCTATCCACTGATGGCTGTGTTTTACCCACTGTAAAGAACTCAGAATGACAAATCTGAAGATTTCAGGTAAGCAAATATCAGACTTTATTAACAACAACAAAATATCAGACTGTTAACGTTAATACCAATTTACTTTTAACTCATTGAAGTTTAATGGTCAAACTTTCCTCTTTCAGACTTAATAGGCTACTTTAAAAATACTTTAAAATAAATAATTCTGATATTATAATTTAATTTAAGCATTAGGTTCTCAGAAATTGGTTTGTGTGGTCATTTTGAGTGCCTCTTGTATGCTTCATTTAGTCTGACACCTAAATGGTTAAAAGTAATATATATACACTAAAAAATGCTGGGTTGTTTCAACCCAACTTTGGGTTAAAAATTTAATAAAAAAATTTAACCAAACAGCTGGGTTAGTCCATATAGTCTATATGCATGTGTGTGTGTGTGTGTGTGTGTGTGTGTGTGTGTGGCTGAAATAGAGACACACAAGTGAAAATATTTTCATTCACTTTACTTTCACTTTAGTCTTCTTCTCTTTTTGTAACTTCTCTGTTCTGTTAAATAGAGAAATGAGTTTGAGGATAGAGTTGAGGACAATCTTTTTCTTCAAAACTATCAGTATTTTGTACATGTTTTCGGGTCTGTGAATGCTGTTTCATGGTCATTTAAAGGTTTTAAATACTATATATACAACTATAATTAAAATAAAAATCCATCTTTTTATGAATACTATTGTCTAAATCACTAGAACACTAAATATTTTTTTTCTTGTTTGACTTATGCAATGTACCTTAAAACATAGGTGATTTATTATATTTATACCTCATTTGACTCCAGCCTATGCATTTTGTGTGTGTTGTATCTATTGACTGTTAAAAAATTTATTTGAGCTGTAGTAGGTTAGTGGTATAAAATAAGATATAGCGTAAGGTTGAAAAACAAATTCAAGTTATTCAACATAAGTAAATCCTTAAAAGTTTTTAACATGTGCTGGGACAATAATTTAAAATTAGAATGTGTGGACACATATTCAACAAAATGATATGCCTACACCATCCTTGTTGCATCGATATGTAAGGGATAATGTAGTCAGCTGGACATTTCAGCAAAGACTGCAACAAAATATTAATGTTAAAGGGATAGTTCACTAATCACATCTTTATTCACCTTCAAGTTGCTCCAAACCTGTATGAGTTTCTTTCTTCTGTTGAACACGTGAATAGTGTTGGTATAACCAAACAGTTGCTGGTTGACTTTAACTTTCATATTGACTTCCACAAAGTGTAATATACTATGGAAGTCAATGGGGTCCATCAACTTTACTTGGTTACCAAGATTCTTCAAAATATGTTCTTTTTTGTTCAATGGAAGAAAGAAATTCATATAGATTTTTAACAACGTGGGGGTGAGCAAATTATAAAAAAAAAATTTTTTTTGGGGTGAACTATCCATTTATTACTAAAGGTCATTTGTACTACAATCGATAACACATTCACAAGATGGTGCCAGTTGCATATGTATATATAAAAAAACAACAAAAAACTGAATTTGTGGTATGATATGAGTGACATGAAAGTAGTGGCAGTTTCAGTTGCCCGCCTGAGCCAAATGATATACAGCATTGCTTTGATGACAGCGAATATAAAAAAAATATGTAAGCGCTGAATGCCACGTTATAGGGAGCCATTTTATCACCCCAAAACTTTCAAACAGAGCATTTTTGTTAATGTGAATTATTATTTAAATATATACTATTAGATTATATGTAATATGCACTTTTAGATTAATGTTTACTTTTCATTATGTATTTCTCTTTGCAGAATTGCTATTGTTTGCAATGGCAGCATTGCACTGTGGGACATCAGAAGACATGGACTTTATTATGGGTAACTGTAATGATATCATCAGACTTCCTTGTAAAGCTACTGACCGAACAAAAACGTACCGTTACGTCATGTGGTATAAAGCAGAGGTGAGTTACCTTTGTTTGAACTGATTGACTTAAATGACATTATTGCAACGGTTGTGCAGTTTATCAGTTTTTTTTTCTTTGTGTAAAGGATTTTTAAAGTAAAAAAAGAAAGCTGCGTGCAAAGTGATGGTTAGCCAGCAAACAAAGCATTTGTAGCATCCTCTGCACCTCAGAGGCATACCATTTGTCATTTGACCTGGTCGGTCTGTCCAACCAGAATACACCACACTACAACAAAATCCCCTAACAAAGCCATGCCTTTCTTTTCTAGAGTCTTCCTATCATCAAGAAGAAAAACCTTGAATATACATACTATAATAACTTAACATCTGTTTCTCTGGGAAATAAAGAGACCCTGGTGTTACATAATGCGCAGTCTTCAGACTCTGGAGAATATAAATGCTACCTGGCTGCAGAGGTTGGAGGTCGAAATGACCATTCTTTAATTGGATTGAACATCTCAGGTAATTTAGAGCCCGGTCATTCTACTTCATTCTCCATAAAATCTGTTTGATATTGATATTCTTTTTGTTGGTGATATCGAAACAGTACTCTAGCATCTTAAAGTCCATGCCAATGATTAAACCTCTTATTATATTTATAATTGCATGTATGATCTCAGAAAACTATGTATCCCATTAAACAAATAATGGTTTTCTTAATTTTCAGAATGTTTAAATGTGAGCACAGTTTATCCAATCACCACCACGATCCCCGCTGATTCCTGTCCTGTTGTAGCAGAATTAACTGTTCCCTGGGCTGTCATTGGCCTTTCTCTTATCAGCATGACCAAAGTCATTCTTTGCATTATAACTGTGGGGGTGAGTATAATATCAGTCCCAATCAGCCGATCAAAAGACCCAAAGAGATTTCCAGCAAACTGCACTGCACTGCATTTTTCACACGGACATCAAACAAATTAAATTAGTGCTTGCCCACTTGATATTCAGACCATTTTAGATTACTGTTCAAAAAATTGAGGCCATTAAGTGCTTTTTTAAAAGAAATTATTACTTCTATTTAGATCAAAAGTGACAGTAAATACATTTGTAAAACATTTTTATTTCAAATAAATGCTGTTCTTATAATTCATCAGAGAATCCTGAAAAAAATATTACATTTTCCACAATGTTATTAACCAGAACAACTGTTTTCAACATTGATAATAATAAGAAATGTTTCTTGAGCAGCAAATCAGCATATTAGAATAGATTCTGATTCTGAAGGATCATGTGACACTGAAGACTGGAGGAATGGCTGCTGAAAATTCAGCTTTGTCATCACAGGAATAAATTACATTTTAAAATATAATAAAATAGAAAACTCAAAGTTATTCTACATTTGAATAATATTTCACAATATTACAGTTTGTACTATATTTTTTATTCAATAAATGCAGCTTCTGTGAGCATACAAGAAACATTCAAAAAATTTACTGACTCCAATCTTTTGAAGCCTGTTTATAATAAAGTCAAATTCTAAAATAGAAAGCCACACTCTGCGAGATATATTTTAAATGTGAAAAATGGAATTGAAAAAATAAAGTAGCCTTTTTTATTCCATACAGTAAAGGACATGTCTGTTTTCATTGGATTATGTATAGTATGGAACAAGCACAAAGTCTGACTTTTTTTTAACCATGCTGAAGACCTCATAAAGTAACAAATGTATCTTTGTGGCATTCAGTCCATTCATATGTCATAAAGATGGCCTCAAAACAGACACGAGCTGTGTCTCATTTTGAAGCCTGCATCTGCTTCCAGAGGTTGCATTTGTCAGCCACATACGTCTTGGGATGTCTCATTTCATAAAAGTAACAGTTATAAAATTATCTGTTACACTTTGTGCGGAGTAAATTACTGAAAGGTATTTCTTTGCAATGAAATGGTTACTTTTCTGAAATGTGGCAGCCTCAATGAAGTATGCGGCCGACAAATGCGACCTCCAGAGGCTGCAGCCTTCAAAATGAGACACGCTTCATGTTTTGAGTCCATCTATATGTTACAGTAGTCTACTCCTAAAAGCTGACAAAACTATCATTTAGATACTTATTTGAGATATTTTAGGCATTTTATGGTTATGCCACAACCCTTCAAAGTGTTTCTGGCCTGATTTTGAATTAAAAAGCAGTGGTCCAGTAATATGCTGAATGCATATTTAAACACGCACCTCACAGACCGACAGCAAACATATTTTACCTGTTTTTGCACTGAGCTTCTGCAGAAACTGTTGCATAACAGGAAACAGAGACGGTGAGGCTCATAAGCTTCACACAAATCCCCCCCCCCCCAACAAAGGTTTTGCACTGTATCTTTCACAGGAAATAATGTTTTTTTTCTTCTGCAGAATCCTGTGATGGTGTTGTAGGAAACACAATGTTGCAGCTGTGTGTGCATTTCAGCTTTTCAAATTTTTTGCTGATGACAATGACTTAGATTTCAGAGATTATTGAAATGACAAACCACACGCTGGCTGCTAGGAGAATGTGGGAGAATGTTTTTTTCATGTGTGTTTCAGTGCTTTTGAAGCCTGGCTGATATAAAATTTCCTTTCACAGGTGTGTGATCGAGTCATATTTAGAACACTAAGAAGAAAACAGGAAGTAAGGGGAAGCAAGACTGGAAGGTCAAGCTGGAAAGATTGAGGTTCACAAAAAGCTCATTTTAGTTTTACACATCAATTAGCCAAGTTAAAACAGTCCAAGCCTGTAAACATTTACAGGGTTGTTCGCACCATTATGTTGTTTTGATTGGATCCGTTTTATTTCTGTGTGGTTTTGCTATTCTTATACTTTTTATGGTCTATTCCTAGGGGAAGAGGGACAGGCTATAATGGGGGCTGTTCTATAGCTGTTAAGGGAGAGGAGAGTCATGGAGAGTTGCAGTTTATTAGGCCTGTGCCACAGCTGCACACTTGCATTTTGTTTGTTTTTAAATTTTTTCCCTCATACTTTATAATTGTATATCCTCTGTAAATAGTTTTACTGTCTGTAGCAAATGTATGTACTTTATGGATCTTAAGGGTTATTAATATGTTGTAAATATTGTTTATACAATATAGATTTAGATTTATAAATCATTTATATAGATCATATTTTCATGTACGGATATATATTCAACAATCAAGATTTTAGGTTAGTTTGATTATTAACTGATGGACGTATAGGACTGTTGCTTTTTGTGTTTGAACAAACTCTATATATTCGCTCAAGGGTTGGGAGATAACCCGGTAGAAATATGTCAATCGCTTTGCACGTCACGATGTAAGCTTATCATTTAAACGGGTCCTATTATGCTCTTTTACAAAGTCTTGAAAATCACATTATTTTTCACATATTTTACATTATTACAACACCTCTCTCCCGAGTCTGGCATGAACAACTCGAATAGTTCATGTATCAAATGAAGGCCCGCCTTCTGAAATACAAAATGTGCTGTGATTGGTTAGCTGGGCCAGTGTGTGTTGTGATTGGCACCACTCAGCGCCTGGTCGTAAAATGTCATGCTCCTTACCATAGCCACCTGCGAGCTTCAGTGTAAATATTGCGTCAAAATCAAATCAATTTGAGTGCGATTTAAACCCGGATGATTATAACCACTCTAAGTTCGTCTGCCTTGGGAAAGCTAGCGTGTCTCCGACATAGTGATAATAACACTTGGTAGGCCTTCTCCAGTGCAGCTCAACCAGGTCTCGTCCCATTCGTCGGTATTTGTGATATCACAAATCCCGGAAAATATGCGTTGTAGTCCAAACGAGTCGTTCGTTGTTTTTGAAAAGTGATTTCTGTTAAATAAAATATCTCCCTTTGAAGTGGACTTTGAGCTTTGTAACTTTGCAGATCTTTTTTATGCACAAACATCAACATTACAGACTAACTAAAGTTTAAAAAGTGAAAAAGCATAATAGGACCCCTTTAAAATTTTAAACTGTTCAGGGACATTAAGCAGAGGAGCAGAATTCATTTTGGTAGCACAGCGCGCACATTAAGACGGTTTCAGCCTGATAGTTCTTTTTCGCACCTTGTGCTTAAACGTACAAATACACATAGTTGTGTGCCAAAATGCCCGTCTTTGTGAGTATACTCGTAAACACAGTCATTTTTTGTCTTAAATGAACGTTAGTAGTTAAAGATAACATGAGTAGTAGCAGGCTATATGAGATCCTGGCATTGATAAGATCTTAAAGGGATCGTTCAACCACCTACTGTCATCATTTACTCAGTCTCAAGTTGTTTTAAACCTGTATGAATTTCTTTGTTCTCCTCAACATAAAAGAAGATATTTTGAAGAATGTTCGTAACCAGAAAGTTTCTGGTCCCCATTGACTACAATATATATGGGGGCTGCAGTAAGCCATAGCCCATGGGGCCCAGTGAGGTCTTAATGCGGCCCTGCCTATTGTGCGTACTGTTTGGCTCCCGCTGGTAGCAGGGGATATAGTCGCTGCATTTGGGGCAAGGTTTCTTGCCATAAATTAAAAAACATCAGCCCAACACATGATACATTTCTGTAATACTGAAGATGTTAACTACCCATTTAACGAGGAAACAATGTTATATTATAATGAAAGGATGTGTGACGTACACTTTTTTGTAAACTGAGCCAAAATAAATAAATAAATAGATTTTGGTAACATTTAGGTGATAGGGACACGTTTGGGTGATTGGGACAACACATTTTTTTTCATTGATTTAGGGTAAGAATATTTACTGTATTGCACAAGTTAGTTCATACTTTGAAATAATTTGATATGCAATATTTCCTTTTTTGTTCATCATCATTCTATTCTATTCTGTTCATTATCATGATGATGTTTATTTTTGTTTAACTTTATTTCTCAGTTCATAAATCCATCCACAATTCATACAATAAAACACATGTAACAGGTAAAAGGTCCAAAAGTCATTGAAAACATATAAAAATCAAATCGAAAAATTATTTATGTTGGGTGGCCCCATCATTTTGTAGAAGCAGTGCATCATATTTATGTTTCCATCAAAAGTTTGTATAATATAGTAGCTATGACAATTTTAGGACCTTATTATGAAAACTAGCAAAAGATTATGTCATTTTCCTTATGTTCATGCATTTAGCTGTCAACTTCCTGTTTGAAGCCTGCCCCGCCCACCTACATGATGTCACACCAATGAGGGCATCCCATTTTAATTATGTGGTCTTACTGCTAGGGCTCAGCAAAAAAAGTTTTTATTTTCACTCAGGTGAGAAAATAAATTCTGTAGTTATTCTGTCCCATTTGATCGTATGTCCCAATCACCCTTAATTCACCCTTTGCAATTTCAATGCTACGGCATTTGTGTAGATATTTAAAGATGGCCACCTATGTTTTTTATTGTTATAATTAAGCAAATTATCATAGCACCAAAGGAGTGAACATGTACTGGGCGTCATTTTGCAAATATAACTGGATTAAATTAAATAAAACAAGAACATGTAAAAATTAAAGTGTTTGTCGAATCGACCAATGAGATCGCATCTCGGAGTTTTTCGGTTCTGTTCTGCAGAAGAAGCTATACAGGAAAAAGCGCAAGAAACAAAACACTGATCAAGCTGCTCATTTGCTTTATAATTTGTAAGTAGAAAATGCTTTTATGCATATGTACAACTTAATTTATTGCGTAGGCTAATTGCAAAAGGTTCAAGAAAGGAAGAAACGCGTGAATACTAAAGAGAAAATAAACTATACTGCCTATATTAGGCTACAGAAATTTCTGCGTTCTCGTCTCCGAAACAGAAAAGCTCGTTTGAGTGTGTTTTCATAAATACATCAAATGTTGTTATAATTTCTTTCCTTCAGTCCAGTTGATTCACCTGTCAGTATCAATAAAGAAGCACCACTGGATTAAAATATCATGTCCAGCTAACACTGAACAAGGTGTAAAATACAGGAGAATCACCTGGTACAAGGTTGTGACTGTTCAGTAGACCGTGGCATTTACAGCTGCACCTTATGGCCTCCACTGGGTCATTACATTCAGGAAGGAAATACAGAGTATTATTCAGTAGATGTAAAATGCAAAGTGTAATGCTGTCCCCAGTGCACTTCCTTATAATGTTGTTGAAGACTCCACTTGTAGTTTTAAGAGAAGTACAAAAGAGAAGTACCAAAAAATTATTTCCCTTATTTATAAGCTGTAAACATTCAAAAATGAAACAGACATTTGTTTAATTTTTACCATTTGTGTTAGGATTGTAATTCCTCTGAAATGGTGATGTGAACTAAAAACTAAAACTTTTGTGTGTTTGTTTTTGTGCTTAGACTGTATAAAGCCTCAGTTGCAAGCGGCAAGCAGCAAGATCTGCCTGCATGCCAATCATCATTATAAATTAATCATAATCCCATGTGTGCTGATGGCTTGTGCTGTTGTTATCATGTTTCTGAATGTCAAAATGATTAAGAAAACAAAAGAAAAAGATAATATTAAGAAAAAAGTTGTGCAGACTGAGTAATTGCTTTTTTCCCCTGTAATATATAAATTAATTTTGCATTACCATTTGACAGTTTCTGGCTCAAGCAGCACATATGATCAACTAATGATGTTAGGCTATATATTTGTATATAAAGAGCACAGAGTTGATTAAAAAAATAACGCAAATGTACATATGACATATAAATAGCCTACATTCACAGGGCCATGCAGAGACCTTTGGAGGGGCAGGTGCTCAAAGTATAAAAGAGGCACATGGAATAGGGCTGTGCTCCTTGCTGATATGTGTATCGAAACAGATGTGTCTGTACTAATACAGCAGCAAATGCCGTGACGCAGTTTTGAAAAAGAAACACAGAACAGAAAAGACCATTTTAAGTTGAAAAATTAAAGAATGTTAATCAGACACCTTAACTCATTTTGTAACTGATGTAATACCTTTTTATATGTCTGCAAAAATTCAATAAAAAAAAGTTAAAGAATGTTTTCTTTGCACCTCTTAATTACTCTGGAATTAGAAACAGAATTATTCATTATTATTATTATTATTATTATTAATATTATTGAGTTTACAGGGCATGGTGGTTTTGCTGTTGTAAACACTACTGTTGCAGAAAAATATTTCTGTCTTATTTAAAATAGAATTCTACTCTAATCCTGTTATGAATTTATAATTTTTTTGAATGATAATGATAATAACAGGATTGATGAGTGTAATTCGGAGGATTAGAAAATCAGTATAAGCCTGTTTTACCAGTGTTGTGATCATTCTTTTTAAGGCACTCTACATTTAAAAAAAATAAATACTGTAATAATAATAGTTTAAAGTATGAATAGTTTTTAGTCAAATATAAAAAAAGAGAAGACCCCTCGACGCCCTTTAAGCTTTTCTCAATAAAACAGCAAGAATGAAAGAGAACAGGCACCTCTGTTTATATTGTTGTGTGTAGAAAAACGTTAGCTGCATTTTTAATATTTAATAAATATTAATTTAATTGTATAAAATGTAAATTCATCCCTTTATTCAGTGTGTTCACATAGAGGTTTTTAGATTTAAATTGAGATTTAAATTCAAAGAGACAGTCTTTGCATGACCTGACGTTTTATTCGTATCCAGAATGAGGAGATGTGAACATTAGGAACGCTGAACACTCTCATGCAGTGTGTGTTTCATTCATACTAGTAGCCGGAGGGCGATCTTGAGCAGAAAGTTCAAAACAGACTCATAGAAGTAATAACTTATGACATGCAAGAAATCCCTAATATGGACAAAAGCATCCAGCTATCGCTGTAGCTGAGCTGAATAAAAAGCAGAAATGGTTTTACTGATGAAACATGAAGACATTAGTCAAGTCAAGTCAGCTTTATTTATATAGCGCTTTTAACAATACAGATTGTGTCAAAGCAACTGAACAGCATTAATTAAGAAAATAG